ACACTGTATTTGAATGACAGTTATTGGAAAATTTATTCCAATTCTTGAACTAGATTTGACAGCAGTTTATAAAACAACCTCAATTAGATGCAAATAGTAGGTGCACTATACAGTTTCCTTAGTTTAAATAAATGATAACAGTTTGTTGAGACTACTGACAATAACTGGACTTCAGTGACTTCCTGAAACCAAGCAGATGTTTTTTCAATGACACTTTCAAACAGCGACGGTGATGTATCGTCATGTTTAAAAATAAACCAGCGATGCGACATTTCTTAGACATACAACCACAAGTATATGTCATAGCTTTTCTGGAATATCTGGAGGAGCTTGGAGCTGATCAGATTGTCAAAACTCTATTCGCAAAGAAAACTGTTTGAGCAAAATTAATGCGTGTTATTACCTGCAAGTGGACTAAGAGAAATAAAGTAGCTTTGAACGACAGATAAGCACTGAGCAGGCTGTTCGTAAATGATCCAGACGAACACGGAATGCGACTAGGTTAAAAAAAGTTTTTTAAGAAGCCCTGAAGTGAAAGCTCGAGAGAAAGGTTAGACCCAAGCACTACGGTTTGTCTACAATGTGCTCAGGCTAGAAATAAGTGGACAGTTGCACGTTTTCGCATTAACCGTCCATTACCAGAAACTGACCAATTTCGCTCCGTCCGCTTTGCAACCGACGTGTTTCAAAGTTTTGACCAACAAACAAACTTACTTTGTTTCCCGCAACATTTCTTACAACCCTAGCGCTCGGGCGTTAGTCAGATGGCAGAAAAGAGTTAGAGTGATTGTACTACCATCTTAATCCGCTGTAATTTTACTATATTTTTGTCTGTATTTATATTTAAACATTTAATATATAAAAAACGTTCTACTGTGGCTTGCCTGTGACAGTGCTTTTGTGTGAATTCCTCCTTTTATTTAATTGGAATTGATTAGTTTTTATCGTTACTGTCACCAGTAGTTGATATTGTTTTTTTCATAAGACTGCTGTATAAAAAATGTTGGATTCTGCCCTTTCCATTTTAACGGATTCCAATAGTTTCCAGCTCAAAATTCTCCTTCAAAGTGGAAATCACGAATATTATCAAACAGCAGTCAGCATATTCAGACCCTTAACAGTCCTCTAGCTTAGGAATCCATGGAATGAAAGGTTGAAAAAAGTGCCCCAATGGTTTTTTCCATAGTCCACATCATGAAAATTTTGGGCACGAATGAATAACTCAGAATTTTATAGAAAATGAAATTTGGTCCTGGAGAGTGAAAAATATCGCAAAAAATTCCATACAGGTGCTTTCACAGTTTTGCTCCCTCTGCAGTAATTTGCTTAAAACTTTTAAAAAATTCTTTGTAAATCACTTCACAAATATTCCATCGATTCGTATGTATTTAATTTTGACAAAGGTCAGGTCCTGCAGTCAAGAAGTAGTTAATTTGAACATGAACACAAACAAGCCTTTATCAGCCAACAGCTACACACCCCATGAAAGTATCTATTTGTTCAAAGTGAAAATCCACAGACACATAGCAAGCGGATACGCGAGTTTATTGAAGTCTTTCCACCTTCATAGTTCTAGCACTCATAAGCTGAACAAAATACCAGTTTTTATTTTTGAGAGATATTAAGATTCAAACCAAATATTTAATGAAATTCAGGTTAAAACTGGAAACTGAAATCCAAACTTTTTAAATTTTCGAAGAAGCGAATAAATACTATGTTCATTTATAAAAATTATTTTCAAAATCCAAAAGATTAGTTTAGTTATTGACAGCCCAAAAGAAGACATGGAGTAGTGAAACAGTGAATTTTATAATAAATTTAGGAAATATATTCTGATATTGGATAGTGAAATTTAAAGAAAACCAATCCTATAACAATTTTGAGTAAAATCAGTTTATAGCAATCCTATCCGAAAAACTGAGCAGACATCAAGTAATGAGATCTGACAAAGAATGATCCATTTGTTGTTCGATTATAGCATTAGAGTTTGCTGATGCAATCAACAAAATTTTTGGCAAGCCCAAGCTGTACGATTATTATTAATGATGTGCCGGACAGCCACAGATGAATTAAACGTCAGAACCTTGTTTTTGTTATGAAACTACTTTGCGAGAGGAATGCTGTCGTACAGGAAAAAAATTTGAATTTATCAGTGAACACAATTTGCAACCCATTCGTTTCACACTGATGCCTGAACTAAAGCAGTGACAAAATGTAGCTCCACTAACCGCTGTTTGCAATCCAAAGTTCACCAACTAATTCTAAAGTTGCCCCTCAAGAGCTCCTTGTGAAACATTTGTGTTTTTCTGCAGTGAGTTAATTTGTTTCAATAATGGTAGGTAAATAGTAAATTTCTGAAAATCTATCCTGCTGACCAAAACTAGATGTTTAGATGTAAAAAGATTGAAAGAGAAGCAAAAAAAAAGTATAAGTAAAATAACTAAAATTCTTGAAAAAGGCCACTTTCAAAAAAGCATTCAACAGATGGAACTGCTAGAATAGAAGAAATAAAAATTCTACTTAGACATTCAAAAAGAAGCACTTTTTTTTACAAAAGCATTGTTTAGTATGGAAACTAAATGCAGTGGCACTGGAAAAAACAAGAAGTTATCACCAGGTGAGAATTGAAATGCTTCTTGACCAAAGCGATACCAACTAAAACAGATTTGGTCAACATTTACGATCTACTGCTACCGCCGTTGAACGGATGAGCAAAAAGAGTAACACTGCAGGCGTCTGAAAGGTTGCGCTACCCCATATAAGAGTTATGAGAACTTGAATTGCTCATGTTTCCAACCGCAGTCAGT